TGAGGTTACTAAGCCAGTGCATTGCTAAGTTATGTATTCTACATGCTTCAAATGTGAAAATGTCAAAAACAATACACTGCAGACAGGCATTCTTAAGCAATTGAGGGGAAAAGCTTTTTTGTCAAGGTCCCTGTGACCTTGACCTTTGACCCAGTGACCTCAAAATCAATAGGGGTCACCTTATGATCATGATCAACATCTATGCCAAATACGAAGACTGTGGGTCCAAGGTTTCTTAAGTTAATAGGTGGACAAACGTTTTTAGTCAAGGCTCCTGTGACCTTTACCTTTGACCCAGTGACCTAAAATCAATAGGGGTCATCTACTAATCATGACTAACCTCCCTGCCAAATAGGAAGACTGTGGGTCAAAGGAATCTTAAGTAAATGGGCAGACAGGCTTTTTGAAGTCAAAGTCCCTGTGACCTTGACCTTTGACCTGGTGACCTCAAAGTCAATAGGGGTCATCTTCTAATCATGACTAACCTCTATGCTAAATATGAATACTGTGGGTCAAAGGAATCTAAAGTTATTGGGCGGACAAGCTTTTTGAAGTCAAGGCCTCTGTGACCTTGACCTTTAACCTGGTGACCTCAAAATCAATAGGGGTCATCTACTACTCATGACTACCCTACATGCCAAATATGAAGACTGTAGGTTGAAGGCATCTTAAGTTATTGGGCGGACAAGCTTTTTGAAGTCAAGGCCCCTGTGATCTTGACCTTTGACCTGGTTACCTCAAAATCAATAGGGGTCATCTACTAATCATGACTAACCTCCATACTAAATATGAAGACTGTGTGTCAAAGGAATCTTAAGTTATTGGGCGGACAAGCTTTTTAAAGACTAAACCCTGTGACCTTGACCTTTGACCTGGTGACCTCAAAGTCAATAGGGGTCATCTACTAATCATGACTAACCTCAATGTCAAATATGAAGACTATGGGTCAAAGCAATCTTAAGTTATTGGGCGGACAAGCTTTTTGAAGTCAAAGTCCCTGTGACCTTGACCTTTGACCTGGTGACCTCAAAGTCAATAGGGATAATTTACTAATCATGACTAACCTCCATGCCAAATATGAAGACTGTAGGTAAAAGGTATCTTAAGTTATTGGGCGGACAAGTTTTTTGAAGTCAAGGCCCCTGTGACTTTGACCTTTGACCTGGTGACCTGAAAATCAAAAGGGGTCATATACTAATCATGACTAACCTCCATGCCAATTATGAAGGCTGTAGGTCAAAGGCATCTTAAGTTATTGGGCGGACAAGCTTTTTGAAGTCAAGGTCCCTGTGACCTTGACCTTTGACCTGGTGACCTCAAAATCAATAGGGGTCATCTACTAATCATGACTAATCTCCATGCTTAATATGAAGACTGTGAGTCAAAGGAATTTTAAGTTATTGGTCGGACAAGAAACATGGCCCTGGATCGCTCACCTGACACAACCGCATCCAAGCAATGTCTTAAACAAGCATCATGGCCAAGTTTGATGACAACTGAGTCAAACATGTGACCTCTAGTATGTCATAAAAAAATTTCATATTTGGGCAATGTGATCTAAGTTTTGACCGGACACGACCCATATTCAAACTTGACCTAGAAATCATCAAAACAACCTTCCTGACCAATTTCCAGAAAATTTGGATCAAAACTGCAGCCACTAGAGTGTAAATAAGCTTTCTCTATTTTTAGCTCCTGTGACCTAGTTTTTGACCTGAGATGACCCATCTTCGAACTTGACCCAGAAATCATCAAAACAACCTTCCCGACAAATTTCCAGAATATTTGAATCAATACTGCAGCCACAAGATTGTTTACAAGCTTTTTCTATTTTTAGCTCCTGTGACCTAGTTTTTGACCAGAGATAACCCATCTTTAAACTTTACCTAGAAATCATCAAAACAACTTTCTAGACAAATTTCCAGAATGTTTGGATGAAATGAAAACTGCAGCCTCTAGAGTGTTAACAAGCTTTGTCTATTTTTAGCTCATGTGACCTAGTTTTTGACCGGAGATAACCCATCTTCGAACTTGACCTAGAAATCATCAAAACAACTTTCCTGACAAATTTCCAGAATATTTGGATGAAAACTGCAGCCACTAGAGTGTTAACAAGCTTTTTCTATTTTTAGCTCCTGTGACCTAGTTTTTGAACGGAGATGAGCCATCTTCGAACATAACTTAGATGTTATCTTAACCATCGTTCTGACAAATTTCCAGAATATTTGGATGAAATCTGCAGCCCCTAGAGTGTAAACAAGCTTTTTTCTATTTTTAGCTCCTGTGACCTAGTTTTTGACCGGAGATGACCCATCTTCGAACTTGACCTAGAAATCATCAAAACAAAACGTAATATACAACTTGCCACGTTAAATCGACACTCCTTATCTGAGAAACTAATCAATTCATGTCATGCAAAAATTTAGTAGCGTAAACATGGCACAGAGGTACGCACAGTTTAAATAAATTGAGATGAATAAATTACCAGTTTTATCAGGTAAGAAATCCACACTCCCTAAAGAATTACAAAAACCCGACATATGCAACGAATAAATGCCAACTCATATTTCTTACAAGTATTAGCCGCTCTCGATCTTTTCAAAGTAGGTCATTTTTGTCCGCAAAACCCCAGTGGCATTCCATCTTACTCATCCTTTTCAATCTGGAAAAAACACTTGCCAAAACATAAGATCTCAGCAATTTAGGATTATGTTCAAAAGCGAACAAGTCTTTACCCTTTATTATACGGTGTTTTTTTGTGTGTTTTTTTTTTTCAATCAGCGCAAAATGTTTAGTGATATATCCCAATTATCATTATCGACAATTTTTGACTAAATGTCTGCTTTTTCATTAAGGGAACGGAACGAGGTATTCACTATACTTCAGAAAAAATATAGACATAACTTAAAATATAATTCTCTTGTAATTCTTTGTTCATAAAATCTTAAGCGACTTTTGAAACAACACTATGATGATCTGAAAACCATTTTACTAGTTGATTCAGTAGCACATGCAAACGTTATCGAAGAACGGAATTCATTGCAAACAATTCCCTCGATATCTGACTATCTTCTGGGGACCATTGACCACCGTTTTTAGTATTTAGTTCATAACCAGCAAATCAAAATGACGAAGCGTCATTGTAAACTGCGCTTGAACAGACCTGAGACTAGAATATGTTCCGGGAATCAACATTATTTAATTGTTTAGTTCATAACATGATTTGCGCAAAACTTTCCTGAGACAGACAAATGTAAGGATCACATGTTTGAGACTACAACAACAACATATTTATTTCATAATAAGGCAACTGGCCCATTATATACAAGGCAACATGGACAAACATTTTACGTCCCTCTTATTGATATCATATGGTATACAAAGAATATGGTGTACACTTTATATATATTCATATAAAATATGCATTATGGTAATCTGCCACATTCTCCTAGGGCCATTACGTTATTTGTAGTTCTATTAACGCTAAGGTAACTTTTACAAAAATCATTTTCACAGTTTCAAAAGCATGTACATAACAATAACCCCATACCTGTGAGGCATAACATAATCTTGGTTTCACCAAAGCATCCAAATATTTAAAGTATTCAATGATTGAAAAATATCCAAATGACTTTTGATACTGTTTGATGGCTAAAATAGGATTCTTGGCCTGAATATGCAAATAATTGTGGGTTGATGGGTGAAAGATTAACACCCATATATTTATAAATTGATAATACATTAACAGGTGATCAACGATAGAACCAAGATTTATAATTTCTAAGACCACCTCCATTACAGAGTACAATAATCTTTGTTTTGTTTAAATTCAATTACATAGTACCGTTTCTTGACAAAATACGTGTATTAAATTAGTTTGTTGCTATAATTTGCGCAATTAGCAATGTCGTCCGCAAACATAAAACAGTTAATGTCATGTATTTCGTAAGTTATAAAAATTCCTGTTCCACACGAGAGACGTAGTAGCTTTGCTAATTCATTAGTAAAAAGTATGAATATATTTGTGCTGCTTACGTCTCCCTATTTTGTTCCAACATTGCAGAGGAAATGATCTGTAGATAATTAAAAGCAATTGTTATCACATTAAAATTTGGTCTATTTTAGCATGATTACAGTCGAGTTTAACAGATAATAGATCTGTAAACATACTCCTGAGCACGCGAAAAAATCGCTGCGTAGACCTCAACGATATAATATTTCAAAAAGCTTCACTTGATTTAATTGGTCGAATGCTTTCTTAAAATCAACAAAAATACAAAGGAATCTACCATCTTTTCTTGTTAAATATTTTTGAGCCATTGCCTGTCAACAAAATATATTATCTACCGTTGAGTACTCTTGTCGGAAGCCGACTTGTGACTCGTCCATTAAATTACTATTTACGGCCCAATTATAAAGTCGAGTATAACAAAGGGTAAAGACTTATTCGCTTTTGAACATAATCCTAAATTGCTGAGATTTTATGTATTGGCAAGTTTTTTTCCAGATTGAAAAGGATGAGTAAGATGGAATGCCACCGGGTTTTGCGGACAAAAATGACCTACTTTGAAAAGATCGAGAGCGGCTAATACTTGTAAGAAATATGACTTGGCATTTATTCGTTGCATATGTCGGGTTTTTGTAATTCTTAAGGGAGTGGTGATTTCTTACCTGATAAAACTGGTAATTTATTTATCTCAATTTATTCAAACTGCGCGTACCTCTGTGCCATGTTTACGCTACTAAATTTTTGCATGACATGAATTTATTAGTTTCCCAGATAAGGAGTATCGATTTAACGTGGCAAGTAGTATATTACACTGCAGCTTTAAATAATATGATTTTAATCATGGAACTATATTAGAATCAAACAACATTGTTGACCATATACATTTTTATTTCATGAATTGTGTGGTATTTGAAGATTCATGTTGACAAAATATATTAAAAAAAAAAATAAATACAACATCATTTCAATAATTATCTTTTATCGTGACTGCATATTCTTTGGTGGAAATAAGAAGAAAGGATGGCACTGAATTTCTATTATTCAAACAACACTTTTTTAAAGGTACCTTTATTGACATGGTCTGTTTATGAATATATAGATACAAGGTTATGCAAATAAAGCTCATTTCGGAGAAACTATTTTACGTCAAATAAATGTTCTTAACTGTATTTTATTTAAAGCAAACATATTTCTAATTTGTGATAGGAAGAGGATATTTCTATCAAGCGTTTATATAATTTGACTTCTGTTTACACAAACCTTAATTTTTATATAATGCAAGCAAAGAATCCCTTCCTATGGACTTATTATTAAAATGAAACAAACATATCAATAAATGAAACATACATATCATTTAAAGCGCAATTATATATTAACCAACACGAAGTCACGAACTCAAGAAACATTAAGTAAAATATTAAAAGTCTCCAAAATTCTCGGGGAAGAGAGCATTTATCGGTGGTAAGACACACAGCCGGAATAGAATAGTTGTTTGATGTTTCCGTTTGATGTCTGTCATATCTGACCCAGTGTCCACACATATTAAAAAATTTAAATCATTATCAGCAAATGGTTATAATTATTGATTCATTTTAACTTAGTAATATTGGATTTAAAACTAAAATAGCATGTCTTTGAATTCAAAGATAAATTAATTTAGCTTTCCAAGATGTGGGCTCTTGATCCTAAAAATGATCCTTATTTGATCAAATTCGTTTGTATTATATGTTGTCCATCGTATCATAAATCATCTTCGTCATTTTGCAAATCAAGATTTAAGAAAATTATGATAGCATTATAAAGTTAATGTTACTTTTATAAAGCAATGCCAATTTAATCTCGATATCTAGTCCCTGTCCAGGTTTAATATAAAAAGACATATTACTACGGAAGAAAATGTTCTAAACACAATTTCCAACTAGTATTTTACCGGTATAAGCAATGATATCGCGCATGCATCAATCGGGCATTTTAAAGCTTTATTTCTTGTCAGAGGTTTTTCTCTTGAGACATTGGGTATCCTTACAGTCCCTTATAAGATGAGGTCCAACGTCACAAAATTCATCTAGGCTAATCATCCCGTCACCTGCAAATTAAATTATTTTGTAACAGTACGACATATACCTTTTTAATACAGGGACAAAACTTTCTCGCATATTATATAATCATATACATTTTCATGATAATTTTAAATTAACATGTTATACTTATATAATACAGGGACTTGAAAATCTCGATATTAAGTTATAAACGTTCAAACATGTTCGTGCAACATTGGTCACGATATGCATAATGGTATATAGATAAAATATGTTTGGCCTGAAATAACTGCCAAATGATTATCAATATTTATTTATTAGAATTTAAAAAATGTTGTTTATTTTTAAATCAACCGTTTATTATTTCCAAGTGTTAAGGATTGCAGAAAAACTTTTTAATACCTGAAGAAAACATTATAAAAGTTGCATATGCTTAATATTTTATAAAGAAATAAGTAGGTTACTTACTATCACTAAAGTCCATTATTGCAAAAAGATCATTTGTTTCTTCTCCTACTCCAAATATGGATTCAAGTTCCGCTGGCCTGATCAATCCATCACTATCCGTGTCATAGGTTTCAAACTTGCATTGATGTTCTTCAGGTAAAATGCTTAATTGAGTTCTTATCTGAAAATTCAAATTAACTATTGATTAGGCTTTACAAAGTATTATAATATTATTGACAGTTTTAGACGTATTTAGAAATAATGTTTTTCTTTTTTGTTTTCTTTTTTAAAAAGAGGTTTTTGTTATAAAAATGTATTTAATGATTGACTTATCAATCAATTGACTAACAGAAGGTTAGTCTTCAAAGTTCACTCATGTCAATTGCTGTACTGTTATAAAGGTAGACTATCAATGAAAATAATTATTTGTATGTAGTGCATAAAACCTTTTGGAAAAACCCTGTTTCCACCATGTCCTTATAATCTATAAATCTTCGCACTCTTCTACATCGATAGCCACAGTCATCAGTTCCCCACGGATCCCACATATTATACGGGTCTGGTGGTGGGTAGTATGGCTTCTTGTTGCAACAGTTTCCAAGACACACAATGACGGCAAACAAAGGAATAAGTTTCAAATCCTGTGCAAAGTAGTTTAAATTATTTATTATGATGCATGTTAACATTTTACGAACAATACTATATTTTTTCTTATTTTGTTTTCTTTTATCAGTGCCTAAATATAGTGTATCATCTTTTCATTTATGAAACACATATGCATACAGTGACATTTATGCCAAACAACTATATTTTATTTTAACTCAATATTGCCTAACCACTTCCACAAACATAAAGCTATATTATGAGAAAAATATGCCGAGTATTCGGACATAAAAAGTAAAATTAAACACTTACCATTATGTCTCTTTAGCACTCTTTATGTCTCGAGATTTTAAAATGCTTCCTTGAAGACAGTGTGATCGAAATTGTGACGGAATGTAAACGGCTTGGTCCTTTTATCAAATATTAAGAGGAAGAAGGAAACTCTTTAAAAAAATATCACTTGGCTTTGCTGTACAACACAACGTTCAGGGACCAATAGATCTTTGTTATTTTGTAAAACATTGCCGTAATATTTTCCTTGTGCAATATGTTTATTCCAAAGTTTTTTTTCAATGATCACTTATTTGTTTCCATCATATATACTCGATTACAGTAGTTCGGAACGATTTCAATTATTTTGACATTTAAATTTACGTTTCTTCGAACTTAAAGTTTGATAAACAATTTATATTGAAAAATCATAGTAATTCGGTCTAATCAGAACATTAATGTGCATTGGTACATACATTTCCTATCAAAAAGTTAACAAATAGTCAACAAAAATCAGTCAAGTAAAAAAATATTTATTTATTAGCTTCTTCTTTTGCAATAACTATCGCATGTTTTATTTGGTTATGGAAGTTTAACGGAGGGTAAACCTTTGAGTACAAGAGTTAAAAGTCTTTAAATAGTTTCATTTTTTGTTTTAAAACAATTTTTCTAATCCATAACATTCACAGTGCAATACAAATGAAATATTATCTGTACCACATATCTCATACATTATCCATATTTTTCTGTCAATGGGAGAAATGTTTGTGAAGTCGTTTAATATGTAATATATTTTATAACGTTAGTCATCCTACATTTCATTATCAAATAATAATGAGAGATCTTGCTTTAGGTAAAAAGATAAAATATTTCGGGAAGTTTTACTTTCAAAATAATTACTACTGTTGGTATTATGAGAAAGTTGATATCAGGAGATTGTTTCATTGCCATTATCTTGGATTTTATTTTTTGGCCGAAGGCCTTCTGATCTTACATTGACTTCCGCTAAAAGTAACAGTAAAGAAATGAATATAGGCAGAATTTCCATTGGTCATTTTAACTCTAATAGCCTGTTCGATTGATACTTTAGAAGAGCTTCCGTTATAGGCAGAGATCTGTTTTATTGCGCGATGGCAAGAAGTGTTGAAATAAATATATAGGTCAGAAAAAATATAAAAATACAATATGAATATTTTCTAGATGTTTCTAACAGCTTTTCAAAAACTATATGAAATCAAATATGACAGATAGCCTTTTTGATACTTTTGCGTTCGATTGGGTTTCCCTTCTAAGCTATTCTAGTCATTATATTCTCTTCTCGAACCGGGCATACGACGATTAAAACGAACTTTCGACTAATTCACAGTTGCAAAATTATCCGTGGAAATTGTGTACAGTATCTACTTAATCTTTGTTTTATTATCAATTCCTATTCAAATCAAATAACATTTTGAACAAAATGAAATAATGTACTAGGTAATATTTTTTTTAAATCTAAGATGACAATTAATAGGAAAAAACATTGCGGGTAAAAATGGACTGAATTAAATCTATTGAGGACGAATAAAATGTTCTTTGGGGTTGGCATGGTTAGTAGTAGCTTATCCTATGCAAGTTAACAAGTTTGACTTCGGCCGTGTATCTTTTTAAAGAGACTTCTTGATTACAATAATATTTGATCACTTGAACTAGCAGAGTCATTTTAATTGTTCTGTAGCGAAATTCTTCAACCAAGGACCACTCCACCGACCTGCAACGGTTGGTGAATTCACATTATCCAATTAATCAGTATTGATTCTTAGAAATGAAGTTGTATGCGAGAGAAGCGGACAATACATTTTAGGGTTGATGGCCAAAATATTATGGATAAGTTTACATTTAATTTAAAGCGCATGAATTTTGAGTTTAAAACGATAAAGAAATGATTCAACAAAAAAAAAATCACCCATCCGCCACACTTTTATTAAAATTTATTATATTGCAAGGCTCAGTTAGACGTACTTATTGCCATTATTGCACTTATGCCTCGTCGGTTTTTAACTACGGCTAGCAATGTATGCCAATACTACATAACTTAGAACTACACAGAAAATAAATTAAATGAAAAGGATGGGAAACTGTACTATTCTGTATTTCTCAAAACAACTAAAAGTACAACTGCAACAAATTGCACATGTCACAGAAAGAAGCTATTTCGCTTTTGTCGGGAGGCCATACTTTTGTTTTGATCAGGTCGTATGGTACAGAAAAAAATGAAGATATCTTACAAGTGTTCTCAATAAAAAGATTTACGATTACAGCCTCTATTGGACATTGAGCTTTGCTTCATACGATTCCATAATTTAATACATATTGTTGTCAAGCATGTTTATTTAAAGGTGATTTAACATTTTGAGGCTGGTGTAAATTTGCTGAGTTTTTAATACGTTTTGAATCAAATATTCCCACAAATGATCTTAGACTATTTGATCAATGCAGGCTTTATCTCGTTAGATGTGTCAGTGGTTGAACCGAAATAAACGACTGGTCATCTACATTGATTTTAAGACATGCTAATTTTGATATCAAGTTTATCAGACGAGGCTGATATGGGCTAGAAAGGGGCGAGGCTTGTCAAAATTTCAAAATAATCTACCTTTAAAAAGTACTGTCCAATTCATTAATATATAAAATGCCCCTTATATTTATTAGCTTCTTTTCATGCAGACATTATCGCTTGTTTTATTTGGTTATAAAATCCTAACTTTAACGGACAGTAATCATATGAATACAAAAGTAATAAAGTTTCCTTTTAAACGGAAGGTTTAATGAAAACACTTAGCTTTTGATCAGTAACTAAATAAGAAAAATACTTTTTTAATTACCGAGCACATTTCGCGCTTATTGAAAGACGAACCCTAAATTACGTCAGTATGGGTACCGCCATTTTGAAATGGGCGTCTAGTCAGGTTACAACGTAAGTCAACGGGAACAAATATAATTTTAACATTTTGGCCATATTACAGACTTTATGCAAAATGTGATGAACATGTTTAGAGATATTGACGCCAGTGTTAAGATGACATCCATTGAAATTGCTTAATTTTATTAAATAATAATAATACAGATTGCAACTCATATCAAAGTAAGGGAGGACTTCACTGGTCACATAGAGAGAGAGAGTTTCAAGATAATCTGGTCTCGCCTACATATTGAAAAAACCCCCACTTAATTCAGTTATTTATTCTTAAAACATTCAAACACATTCTTTACTTATTCTACATCTATCAAATCACTGACAATAAACAATACGCGTTTGATCTACGTGTAATCCATACAATGTTCTTGTCCACTTGCTCTTTCCTGACATTTTATGTAAGTGTACGATCTTTTATGAGAATTTCAATTGTACGGGCGTATATGCTGCTGCTCAAACTTGTAACTGTCATTAAATAAGTAGATACGTTTTCATTATCATTATTACGCGCAATTTACTCAATAAGTATATTAGTGGGAATCCCTGGGTTTGGTTTCCGGGGGGGACAGGTCACTTTTCTGTGACTGAACAAAAATCATATCTATAGTAAATCGCACTGTGCATCTGCTCTGACATGAACAGGGGCTATCGGTTTTAGCGAAAGTGAAGGCACTAGTACTGGTAAACTTATTTTGCTTATGCTTACTTGTATTTGCACGAAGGTCAAAGAGCAATACAATTTTTAATTTTAAAAATAGTTATAAAATAGAATTTGACTTCAAACTAAGTTAATAATTGGCATCGCTGTTTTGAAATGGACGTTATTTAACGGTAAGGTAATATTTTGTCATAATAATCATATTATTAATATTTTAAAAAATGCCTTATAAAGTACAGAAAGCTCTTTTTATTGATCTCTATTTATTTGACACACCGAGTCAGTGTTAAGTGATATGGCGGAATCATCGAACAAAAAATCTTTAAAATACATATACCATTCATTGGCTGAAATATTACACAGTGCCTTTTTCGGTGGACGTGAACGCTAAATATGTGACCACATATCCTTGGGATTTTTACTTACATTTATGAGTTTTTGTCTGTGTTCGCGCTGAAAAAAGTAGCTGTTTACTACGACAAAACGCCTTAAACTTATTACGTTTAGCCTTATATGCTCTTAAGTCATATATTAAGTTTGATGTTCTAAACCTACGTAGCGCGTTATATTCCTTGCAATTATATAAATCCCAGTTTCCATCCCACTATTGGGGCTGTGACTGTTTGTTTCTAAAGGATCTTATTCGCATATAAGGTACTGCCTCTTTGTAAATGGCTGTCAATATAGACAATGCGCTGTAAATATTTGCCATTATCTCAGACATAATTCGACCTTGTTTCTGACGTAGCAGAGTACCAAACTGACTTAAGAAAAAATCTCTATGGATTTCATTCCAGCGAAAATGTTCGTGTTCAATTGTACACGTTACAGCATTATCATTAGAAACGGCATTTATTACCAAGTCCTTGTATGGTAAAGATAGAGAGCATGATATAAGGAGATTCTAAAACTTTGAAATTTAGAATATATTCCAATAAATTTTGAACTATCTATCTTATAGTCGACAATGCTGACGCTCTCATTTGCGTAGCATGTAAACTCCCCTAATATGTCATTTGAATTATCTCCCGTTTAAAAATGTGAATATCATACAAACAACATAAATCAAGCAAAAAGTTTCCAAAATTATTACAAACGCAATCCTTATTGTTTCTTGATAAACAAAATGTACTACCGTTATAATCAGAGTCACCACATATATACGTTAGATTTTCATCATAAATACAATCAGGTATTTTTTTTGTTCTAGCATTTGAATCTCCAGCAAAAAGAATGTATGAATTAGGAAGATTAATTTAATCGTTTCAATACCACCCTGAATTATTCCATCATTTTCTTATAGATTATCATTAACAGAAGATCCCTCCGGTGCAACATACGCAAAATAAAAAACAATTGAGAAGACTTAAGTAACAGCACTACATAATATGTCATGTCATATAAAATACATCAATCAAATGTAAACATTTTAATGTAGAATTATTTAATACACTACCCCCACTATTTCTAATGTGAGCATTATTATATGGTCTCATATAATCATAATGTATATAACCCTCTAAAAACGTATGTGAGAAGTTGGCAATGGCCAGTGA